ACTAAAGCAAGAAACCCTACAGGAATCGGTCATGATTTCGAAGGACTGAGACATTTTTGCTGTTGTAAGGTCGCGGCAAAAACGCGTAAAATTCGCAATTTACGCGGTGTTCTAGATCTAGCTAGCAGGGCGCCAAGCATACACTAGGGCTATAGAGGTTAAAAACTCGATGAATTCGGAACTGCAACATTTATAAATAACAATTAAGAAACGTAACGTATTTATTCACTCTCATCTCATAATTTTGATGAAACGGAACGCATTACGCAAGTAAAGAGTCTGTGGTTTGGGGAATCCCCGACGCGTGCGTTCGCTGCTCCTTGAATCGCATTCCATTGTTTAGTCGGTTTGTATTGCCCTTAGGGTCGATTTCAGACAAGCCGTGAAAACAGGTTTTTCCTAATAAAATTCAAGATATTATTTATGTTGACATCATTTCACGCAATATTATCCTTAAATTAACTCTTTGAACAGAACATTTCATAATTATTGGTCGAAACTAGTAATAATAATTTAAATAACAAAAAACCATGTATCACTTCATTCGTGTTATATGTCTTTTTCGGAGTATTTCAAGTTAAAGTCCAAATAAAAATTATTGACGAGTGGATATTACGATTTGTTTTTATTGGGGTAAACTTGAATAACTGTGGCGTTAATTTATATTAATTATTTAAAGATTAGGCAATCGTGAATATGATTTCCCAGCCTTTTCTTGCGCCTATTAACATTAATGCTCATTAGTGTGACCCGAACTTCTAAATTTATATAAAAAAAACGAATGCTTACCCCGATGCCTGCATTTTACTGCGCGCTAAGGGGCCCCAGTGACGCGTGAACGTGCGACGAGAGCAGACGTGCGCTTCGTCAAACCGGTAAGAAACTTATGTCCAACTCGATTTCAATACTTGCACCCAAAATGTATTCATTTGCGTCCAGTGCAATGCAGGCAATAGTTATTTTTCAGTAGTATTGCAGTAATGTGCAAAGAATAGCTATTTGTGACACAGATTCGGTGTATTTTTTCGATAGCTTCTAGATTATTCGACGACGAAATATTTCAATTTTCATTTCAAAAAATCATTTGTGTCGCCTCATTAGTGTCGATTTTATAGGGACACTAATGATATGCAATTTTACCCAAATGATCCGAGTATTTTTTTTTCATCATCAATTTCTTATATGCTTATATAATGCACACTTGTGTTTTCTTGCTACCTACTGTAAAGCTATGATTTATTTATTTTATTATAACTTCACCTCTAAGTTTTTGATCTTAGGGGTAATCTCTGGCTCTCGTGTACCGATTATGTTTTTTTTTACCAATACATTAGCTTGCAATTATATAATCATAGTCGTTTGCAGTTAAATAAAATAACTTTTTGAGTACCTACCTACATGTTACTTAAGCTTAGGTTATCTAGCCCGTCCAAACTAAAAGCATCTTACATCTTTTTTTGCGAATTTGTTTAAGGTCAAAATGGCAAAGGGAAAATCTCGTGAAGAAGACCTGGAAAGAAAAAGGGTGGCGCGGCGGGAAAGATATAAAAAATTAAAAGCCAACCCAGAGAGATATTCTATTGAACAGCAAAAAAAGAGAGAAGCCTATTTAAAACGAAAAATTCAAAATAAAGTAAAGAGCATAAAAGATATGTCCCCACGGGAACAAAAAGTCCAAAGGAGGCGATGGAAAGAAAGTTCTAAACGATACTTAGAAAAAAAAATCAAGGAGCGACAAATAAATGAAATTAATATTGACGATTCTCCAGCCGCCGAAAATAGTAAAGGAACGGTTGATTCTTTGAGTGATCCTCTTAAGGAATGTACAATAAAAACAGATAATAAAAAGGGAACCCAGTATTATAAAAACAAGATTAAATTATTAAAGCTTAAACATTTAAAAGAAAAAAAAGAATTGTCATTTTTAATCAAAAAATATAAAAATAGGTGTGGAATTTTAAATAGAGTAAATAAAATACTGAGCCAGAAACTAAAAAATAAAAAAGATAATATTAACGATGATAATCATCTTGAACTCCCCGCTCCATCACCCCATTCTGATTGTGATAAAGAAGCTGTACAGGCTAAAACGAAAAATATAATTAAAACAAAAGAGAAAAATAATTTAGACCTTCGTAAAAAGTGTTTAAATGACAGGTTTCTGAAAGAAATAAATAAAAGCGGGGGTGATATTCAAAAATTAGTTAAAGAATATTATGAAGATGATATCAATAGTCGTATTGGCGCAGGAAAGAAACAATGTGTGAAAAAGTATGGAATTCAGAAACAGAAACGGTATATGTTGGACTCGATTAAAAATCTGCACAAAAAGTTTCTCGAAGAAAATCCTCTAATAAAAATCAGTTACGTAACTTTCTCAAGACTTCGACCATTTTGGGTATATCTGCCTAGAGATGATAGAGACACGTGTGCTTGCACTACTCATACTAACATAGACCTAATTATTCATGCTTTAAGGAAAAATAAAATTATTGATCTAAGAAATTATCAAGAAATGCTAGGAGTCCTGTGCTGCACCAAATTTTCTGCTAAGTGTGTTGCTCGCGAATGTGATGTCTGCAAAAATGAATCGATAGCTTACAAAGAATTTGATAACCAGGAAGAAATAGAATATTATGAATGGGTCCGAGATAAAAAGAAAGTCGGGGCCAAAGATATCAACGTTGTCAAGAAAGTTTCTCAAAAAATAAATCCTAGAAATCTTATACAAAAATTAGAATCATCATTGCCGAAGTTTTTTGTTCATACAGGGAATATACTCAATCAATACCAAGCTATAACAATGATAAAACAGTCTCTGAGCCCTAATGAAACTTTACTACATATGGACTTCTCCGAAAATTATTGTTATAAATTCGCTAAAGAAATACAAAGCTTACACTTCGGAGGCAGCCGAGGACAAGTTTCTCTTCATACGGTAGTGGCCTACCTTAAGGAAGGAAGAGACAATGCTCACTATTCTTTCTGTACCGTAAGCGAGTGTACGCGACATGATGCACCAGCAGTATGGGCCCACTTAGAGAATGCTTTAAAATTTGTATTTGAAAAGTGTTCATCCGTTACCACCGTTCATATTCTCACAGACAGTCCAACCAGTCAGTACAGGAATAAACAAATATTTTACATTATTACTCAACTTCATAATACTTTTCCATCTCTTAAATGTGTAACATGGAATTTTCAAGAAAGCGGCCACGGAAAAGGAGCACCTGATGGCATTGGTGCGGTAGTAAAAAGGTCGGCAGATTATCAGGTAAAATGTGGAAATGACGTTGGTGACTTTACAAAGTTTCTTGCCGTCGTAAAAGAAAACGTTAAAAACGTTGAAATAAGAGTAGTCAACGAAGCTGACATTATAGAAAAAGAAATTATGTTGCCTAAGGATATTTCGCCATTTAAAGGAACCATGTCGGTACATCAGGTACTCTGGAATATTCATTCTGACTTCCTTGAATTCAGAAAATTAAGCTGCTTTTTGTGTATTGAAGAAATCTGCCACCATGACAATAAACATATGCAATTGCATAAGATTTATAAGAGTGCAATCGCATCATCTGTCGAAAATGTAAAAATTGTTCCAGCCAGCAAGCAAATTCATGTTTTAGAGGACATAACCCTGCAATTCAACGAGTCTCCTAAGCCATCTACATCTGGGCTACGCCAAATTCGTAAAAACCAAAACGTTGTTACACTTGCAAAAGTAAGAAATCACTGGGAAAATCAGACCTTTGTTAATAGCCAATTGAAAACGGGTGAGCACGAACAAGAATTTATTAATTTTATTAATGCCATGTCTAATCAGAAGAAATAAAAAATGCAAGTTTTATTCATTATTACACGCCTCACAGTGATTACTTACTTTGCTTTACTTTTTTTACTCTAATCATATTTCTAATTATTATTTTGTCTAATTGTAATATTTCTCTAAACTACCTCAAACAAATACCACTAACATTGTGATTAATTTTAATATCAAAAATTTTATATCTTAACCAAATCAAGAAAATTAAGAAAAGAAGTATTATGATTCCAAAAATTATAAATTACAAGGATAGAATTGTTAATTAGTTAATTATTTTTATTTTTGTTAGAGTTTAATGAATGCGTTAATATTATTTAAAATATAAAATAATTTGTGGTTCCAAAGATTAATAAATAAAAAACTGGATAACAATAATTACTTCGTTGATTCAATAAATGTGATTTTTTTAGTATATTGTTCTTTTTTATTTCAAACTGAATTACTAAACATTTTTAGAAAAATGTCCTTTTTATTGGGTGGGACATTATTATCACATAAATCCAACAATAAGTACTTAAATAGTAATGTGGTATAAGATGCAAACTAATATGCAAGTGGCTCTCATTAGTGTCACCCACATTTCATTTGTAAATCATGTAATTTCATTAGTGTAACCATCAACTCATTCGTGTCAGATAATTTTTTAATATCTTTAAAAGTATTCAATTCCCCCCAAAGTTTTTAAAACTTAGGGGTATAATTTGAGTTTGGTAAACGTTCCGCACCATCAGATATCATTTACACGGTGTTTTAAAAAACTCTTATAAAATGTATCATTTTAATTCGATTCGTGAAATCGACCCCTTACCGCCGATACTCTAGTTCAATTACGTTGTTTTTAAATATTATACTGACTTACGTTACATCGAGAAACTGTTACAATGGAAAAGGTAAGTTGCATAATATTATTTTTATTGCTTTCTGAAAAAGTCACTTTGGAGCATTTGTAATCTAATATTATATATGTACCTAAGTATTACTCAAATTGATATATACTTCACGGTTTCAGTCACGTTCAGCGGCATATAAACCTAAATCTGGTTCGGAGAAACGGAAAAATAAAAGAAAGATAGAATTACAAGCAGCGGCTTCGAACCCAAAGCAATCCAGGCTTTCCTTCACGTCTACATCTCAAGAGCTTGAAGATCCTCAAAATCGGAGCGAATCGCAACCAGGTAGGGTAGACTGGGTACGGTTGTAACGGGGTACGATTGTAACAGCTCAAATATTTTAGAAACTATACGCGGTACGGGAAGGGGTACAAGGGGAGGGTCACGCGGGTTGCAAGTCCCGACATGTTTCTCAGTGTTGCGTCGCACTCCGCGCGCTCATTACGCGTACAGAGGAGCCTATTGTGTTTAGCCGCGCAAAAGTAAGTATTTTTGATGAATTTCTTTACGATATTATTTGATTGTTTGTGTAATAATCGTATTTGAGTATTTTAATTCATAATTGTTGTATTTCAGTGATTAAAACACGCTGGTTCATTTAAGTATAGGTTATTATATCACGCCCCTGTGGCTATGTTGTTTCCAAAATGGTGGGGTGGGTACGGTTGTAACGATTTTTGTGGGTACGGTTGTAACAATAGTTTTATTATATTTTTTCATTGCAGATGCCTAGGAAACGTGTAAGAAAGACTTCAAGAGGTGAAAGCGACTTATTGTTGTACAAAAACGCTTATGAAGAAGTCAAAATAGGAACTTCTTTGAGACGAGCTGCAGAGAAATATGGCATAAACTATGTATCTCTATTGAGATATAAGCGAAAGAGGGATGCTGCAAATAAAGATGACCAAGACCAGGAAGAAACTGTAAGAATGGGATACGTGGCTCACAACAGAGTTTTCACAGATGATCAGGAGCGTCAATTGTCTAAATACTTGATTCGTTGTGCTGACATATATTTTGGGCTCTCCACAAAGGAGGTAAGAAAATTGGCGTTTGAACTTACCATCAAATATAATTTAAAGTCTCCGTCCACATGGATTGAAAATGAAATGGCTGGAGAAGAGTGGTTCCGTTCATTTATGAAAAGAAATCCAGAACTATCAGTGCGCGCTGCACAAGCTACAAGGCTGTCTAGAGCCACTAGTTTCAATCGAACTAATGTCGATGCGTTTTATGACAACCTTCAAATTGTTATGGACAGGGACCACTTCGAACCTCAGGACATTTATAATGTTGACGAAACCGGAGTTACAACTGTACAGAAGCCTGACAGAGTTGTAGCAAGACGTGGCACGAGGCAGGTGGGTGCACTTACCTCTGCTGAACGAGGCAATTTAGTAACACTAGCATTTGCAGCTAACGCATTGGGCAATGCAATTCCGCCAATGTTCGTATTTCCCCGGATTAGATACCAGGAGCATTTTATCAGAGACGGGCCAGTGGGGTCAATTGGTACAGGCAATCCTTCAGGATGGATGCAAGATGAGCAATTTGTTGTGTTTCTTAAACATTTTAAAAAACACACGAACGCTTCTCTGTCACATAAGGTGTTACTGGTATTGGATAACCATTCGTCTCATATACACATCCATTCTTTAGACTTTTGCAAAGAGAACGGAATAGTACTCCTATCATTTCCACCCCACTGTTCCCACAAATTGCAGCCACTGGATCGCTCTGTTTATGGGCCTTTCAAAAAAGCGATTAATACTGCCTGTGATGCCTGGATGCGGAATCATCCAGGTAAGACTATGACCATATATGATATACCAAGTATTATAACAATAGCGATGCCAATTGCGCTTACTCAAGCTAATATTCAGGCCGGATTTCGCAAGACAGGGATCTACCCATTCAATCGTGAATTATTCCAAGATATTGATTTCGCACCCTCGTTCGTGACAGACAGGCCAAATCCAAATGCTACCGAGGAAGTGGCCGAATCTAATCTAAATAACATTGGACTTGGAACTGATGATGAAACACCGCCGCTTTCACCTTCGTTATTAAATGAAAACCAGCCTTTAACTAGCGCAGTAAATCCTGTTGAGGCTGAAAGAAGAGCATCTATTGAACAGTTAGTCTTGCAGGCGCCATTATTGAATGAAGAATTAATACATCCACTCGAGCCTGAAAATAGAGCATCTTCAAACAGCACAGCTCGTCCACCTGAGCGTGAAAATGAAGTCAATGAGATTCAAGCGGCAATAACGCCGCCCAGGCCTTCTCCTGTAGAAACCAATCAAGAGTCTCAAGTTATAATGCCGAACGTGGAACTAAATACCTCTTCTCGTGATGCTACTATACCGCAGGAATCAGAAACTATTCCGTCCACTAGCAGAAAATCTGTTTTCTCGCCAGAAGCATTGCGGCCCTACCCGAAAGCTCCTGCTAGGAAATTAGGAACAAGAGGTAGAAAAACCAAAAAGACTGCAATTTACACAGACACTCCTGAGAAGGAAGCAATAAGAAAAGAATATGAAGAACGACAAAAGCGATTGAAAGCTAAACAAATGAAGAAAAATATACTTGAACCATCCACCGGGAAGAAAAACAAAGGGAAAGGTAAAGGGAAAAAAAGGAAGGCTAACACATCACCGGATTCATCATCAGAAGAAGAATATTATTGCCTTGTTTGTCTAGAGCCGTATTCAGCGAGTCGATCTGGAGATAGCTGGATACAATGTCAAGGAGGATGTAAATTATGGTCTCACGAAGCTTGTACAGAAGGGAGTAGATATTATGTTTGCCATAATTGCAGCGAGTCTGATTAATTATAATATTTTTTTGTTTAGAATAAGATCTTGTTGATTATTGATTATTATTCGTTACTTAATAAATATTTGTGTTTGGTCATTTTGATTAAGAGACTATAAAAGAAACATTATTTTTGTTGATTAATATAAGTTGAACTAGTAAAATAAATAAAAAGACTAACTAAAGTAACATGTGGCTAAAGTTTTGTTAATATTATTTTAATTGTTTTGTTAAAATTTATAATAATTATTTGTTAAAAACGCAAAGTAATAATAAAACTGATTTGAACACATACATTGTTTATTATTTCTGGATGTTACAACTATCCCCCAGCACTGTTACAACCGCCCCTGGCATGGGGTCGATTGTAACAGCGGTACACAGTTTACAAAACTACTCATATCTGTCAAACTAAATTACTTGCGCCTCTGGTTTTGATATCAGTGTAAAGGTTAATGACTAGGCTTTCATCTGAAATGCTTCAATTGGTGTTCATACCCATAGTGAGTGTACTGAGGGTGATCAAATAAAAATTGTTACAACCGTACCCAGTCTACACTAAATAGATTTAATTTAATACAGTTTTTTTTTTCTAATTTAACAAATCTTTACATATTTGTTAGCTAGTTTTACCTGTAGTTTCGCTTTTTAATTCCTTCTTTACATAGAATTATAACGCCTAGGAGGCCAATTCTTAGTCAAATAGAGATAGAAATATGCCGAAAAAATTGAGGAATGTCGGATGAAATTGTATGGGGAACACACGACATCGGCCATTTTTTTTCGACATGAGCATATTTCTATCTCTATTTGACTGAGAATTGGCTTCCAGAAGGATAGCCTTACTACTGGCCGCTGCGTAAAATTTGAGGCATAAAACGCACACATCGTTTTGCTTGGTAGTCGCACGCAACACAAACGTAAAATAATGTTACCAGTCAAATGACATTTCCCCAAAAATATGGGAAATGGATATATACTTCTGTACAGTTTTAATAAGGCTTATTAACACAAACTTGTTTTTAGTTAACCAAAATGTACATGATATGCGCACGGGGTCGGTTGACTTTTGACACTACGGGGCTGTCGAGCGTATCACACCACGGTGGATGGTGGTGTGATTTGACTGGATGTGATTGCAGGGCGCAGAGACGGCTTCTGGGTGTTATAATTCTAATCTAGTTTGCCTTTCGATGCAAATCGGGTTTACTACCGAAAATTACCAACAGGAACTTTAATTCGACGAGAATCTGTCTCTTATTCTCTTGAATTAAACAAGCTATTTTGTACCACCTGCATGTGTTTTGCGTCTGACGCCAAGAAAGAAGAAGGAGGAGGAAGAAGTCCATTTATTGATGGCGTTACTCCATCCAAAAAACATATTTATGAACAACTTGTCAAACACGAGGAAAGCCACAGTCATCAGTTAGCCGTAGTTGCCTTGCTTACAGCAAAAAAAAGAGGAAATGTGGAACAACATCTCACGCTAAAGAATATGCAAGAGATTTCCAATAGGCGTCTGGTCCTGAAAAGAATAATTGATATAATACTATTTATATCTAAACAAGGCATTGCTTATCGTGGAAAAAGTGAGGCCTTGTACTCGTTAGCGGATATCGCAGACGACAACCAGAATCACGGAAACTTTTTAAATTTAGTTGTCCTATTGTCGAAGTATGATCCAGTTCTTAAGGCGCACATGTCCGAGGCAATTACTGAAAGTAAAAAAAGAAAAGACTCAGGAAAAGGTAAGGGTCGAGGTGGGCTTGTTACCTTTTTATCAAAAACCACTATAAATAAATTAATAAATATATGTGCACGTCAAGTTAAACTAGAAATCGTTAAAGAAATCCAGGCGGCGAAATCTTTTAGCCTTAATGTGGATTCTTGCCAGGATGTTGGCGTTGTTGACCAGGCTGCAATTTGCGTGCGCTATGTTAAGAGTGGGATCCCACAAGAGCGGATGCTCAGCATGGTCCCTGTCCGGAAATCAACAGGAGAAGATTACCGAGCTCTTGTAAGCAATGAACTAGCCCAGTTAGGCTTAAATTTGCAAGATATTATTAGCGTGTCATTTGATGGCGCCGGAAATATGGCGGGAAGGTATAATGGTCTTCAAGCAAAACTGAAGGAAGAAGTGCCAAAATTAATTTTCACACATTGTTATGCACATGTTTTAAATTTAGTGCTGGGAGGCGCGACGTCAAGCTGTACTGAAGCCAAGAATTTGTTTGGGCTCTTGGAGTCTACCAGTGTATTTATTCATGAATCATTTAAGCGCACATCTCTATGGGTGGAGAAAATTTCAGAATTAACAGCTGGACAAGACAAATTGAGACGATTACAGAATATCGGAAAAACAAGATGGTGGGCTAAAGACAAAGCCTTGACCACTGTTATGGAGAAAACTCGATATGTGGCGTTAATAAAAACTTTAAGTGCCATATCTTCAAGCACGGAGTTCGAGCCAAAGGTTTCGTTCCAAGCAAAAGCTTTGATGGATTCTTTTTTGAAATTCGAAACTATCCTGACAGCCTTCACGTTCAAGAAAATATTTGACCTATCAACCCCAGTAAGCCAATATCTCCAAACCCCTACATTGGATTATCTTAAAGCTTGGGGATTCATCAAATGTTTAGACATGGATTTACGAAGACATTTAGATACTTTTGATGATGTTTTCAAAGCTGCAAGTTTATTTGCATCCGATGTTCAAGACTTGATGCACGCTGAAAACATTGATCTCGACGTACAAACCACGTTACCGTTACGAAGAATTTCTAAAAAACCGAAGAAACATGAGCAGTTATGTGAAGATGAAGTAGCATTATTGGCTACAGACCCAAAGAGATTTTATTCTATTTCTGTCTACAAAGTCATTATTAATACAGCTTTAGTTAAAATAAACGAAAAATTCATGTGCAACGAAGATTTAATGAAAGATGCCGCTTGTTTGGACCCGAAAAACTTCAATAAAATCAAAGAAAATGGAATTCCTAATGACGCGCTAAAGTCTATCGCATCAATTGCAAATGTCGATCGAGAGTTGCTGTCAAAAGAACTGGAATCTTTTGCAAATAAGTTTAGTGAACTGTCTAAAACTCTTTGGGATGAGCACATTTCTCCTAGGCAGCATAAGCAAGATTCAGATTCACAAAGCGACGAAGATGTTTTAGACATAGACCAGGCAGCAAAGGACGCCATGTGTTTTTCCAGAAGTGGTTTGGACGTCTGTCAAAGTTGCATACCATGTGCATGTAAACTTTTATCACAGTATAATATGCATATCAGCACGTACACCACCTTATATGTTGCATATTGTGTAATTCTCACAATTTCATTCACGCAAGTGACTTGTGAGAGACGATTTTCAGCATTGAAGCGCATTAAAACGAGACTTCGTTCTTTACTGGGGCAAGAACTGTTGGATTCGTTGATTATATTAAATACAGAATCGGATCTAATCAAGGATGACGAAAACAACAGCTTTTACGATCGAGTCATTAACTGCTTAGCTGAAAGTTCTCCTCTTTTAAAAAAAATGTTGATTGGCTAGCTTTATATAATTTGTTCTAAGTAAATACCTACTTACTATTGTATTGTATTTTAGTATAGTAATAAATTTTTTATAGTTTGTTTATCTCAATTTGTGTATCTCAGTATTTTTCGATAGTATCCCATCACCATGGTCTAGTCTCGGGCCCCGGGATTGTGATCAGCCACCCGGGCCCTTCCGGTCCAGTCCGACCCTGGTCAATCGAAAGAAGATACGAGCAACTTTTTGAAAACCCACAACAATTGTTTGAAAAATGATTATTACCCTTTACTTTTACAATACAAATACATCAAAAGAAAAACAACAAAATTGGAAGTCAGTGCCATGCAAAGTCTCTTTAGAACAAAAGCCAGTCCCAAATTTGAAGGAAAATCTTATCAATAGTTGTTCCCAGTTTAGAGCCTATCATAAGAAGATACGAACAACTTTTTGAAAAATGATTATTACCCAATACTTTTAAAATACAAATACATTAAAAGAAAAACAACAGAATTAGAAGTCAGTGCCATGCCAACAATCTCTTTAGAACAAAGGCCAGTCCCAAATTTTAAGGAAAATCTTATCAATAGTTGTTCCCAGTTTAGAGCCTATCATAAGAAGATACGAACAACTTTTTGAAAAATGGTTATTACCCTTTACTTTTAAAATACAAATACATTAAAAGAAAAACAACAGAATTGGAAATCAGTGCCATGCCAACAATCACTTTAGAACAAAGGCCAGTCCCAAATTTGAAGGAAAATCTTATCAATAGTTGTTCCCAGTTTAGAGCCTATCATAAGAAGATACGAACGACTTTTTGAAAAATGATTATTACCCTTACTTTTAAAATATAAATACATTAAAAGAAAAACAACAGAATTGGAAATCAGTGCCATGCCAACAATCTCTTAATTGTAAAGCACAGGCTACAAAAATATGTAAAACATTATTTTAAAAAAGTAATAATTACGAGTAAGTTAAATGTAATTTATTTGTTTATTAGTTTTAACTGTTTTGTTTTTGCCAGAACAACGTCAACTAAGCAGCATCATCGAATCGAAATTAACAATTTATGTTTGTAATGCATGTCATCGAGTACATTTATTTACCAGCGAAAGTACTATATCTAAATGAAACCACATTTAAGGAAAACTGAACTGAAAAAAAAACAATAAATAGGTTCTGACGATCCAGAAATTGAACATAAAATATTTTGTGGATATATTCTGATACACGTTGGACGAAGTTAGATGTTTGTTAACGTTGGTCTTTTGAGCCGGATTCTAAAATGCGATTACTTCCATTATAACCCGTGTCAATAAAGGAATCGAAAATGCCGACGCCAGACTCTCTCTCTCTCTCTCTCTCACTCGTCACTTAGGACAGTATGTGCGAGAGGGACAGATAGTCTTCCGTCGTCATTCGCGATTCCTTTCTTTAATGACACGATTTAAACCATATTTACTACAGAGGTCTGGTATATATAACGATTTTCGAACTACCACATGGCTAACTGGATGTGTTGATGACTTTCAAATTCTTTGCAGGTTCGGTGCATTTTATAGTTTATAGGCTCAGGTTAAATTTATTGTAGGTAAATAAGGTTGGTTACACAACAAGAACAATTTTATTAAATTTACGTCTACCATAAGTTATTGTACGAAATTAATCAAGATATGATTACAAATTAACCATTGAAACATCTGTTTGCAAACATAATTGTATCATTTGTATCTTCCATTCATTCAATTCGTTATCCATAAACAGGTTTAATGCATACATACTTTAATGTTACATGATAATTGAATTGAGGACTTTTTACAATAACAACACAAGTATAATTGAACTTAATATTTACTAGCTTTGCCCCGCTGTGTTACCCGCGGTTTATTAGGGATATTTTCCCGCAGTAAAACGTAGCCTATGTGTTATCCAGGTTGTCAGCTAACTCCATACCAAATTTTATTAAAATCGCTCCAACCGTTTAGACGTGAAGAAGTAACAAAGATACACACTCACAAACTTTTGCCTTTGTAATATTAGTGTGATTTGTACGTAAGAAAACTTGAGTGTATTCTTATTATTATTCTCACCAGGAGACTACTTTAGGCGGTGGCAAGATCCCTTTCGATTTTCTGTTTCAATACTCGAACTTATCAAACTAAATACATAGCTCAAAGTCAGTTGGAGAAATTCGATACTGTTAACCAACCAGAGCTTTTGTAGTAGTAATTCAAATGAATTACTACAGATATAATATAATAGTAATACAAGTTATTTACGGGTTTGTTACCATGTACCTTGTTTTTAGCGAGTTAGGTAAATAACTTATATTATTATAATGTTAGTGACCATGAAAGTTTAAAACAATAGATTTAATATATACTTATAGTCGGTTTCAATCGATTCTTCCGGATATAAACAAACTTATCGAACAAAACAATACGTCTCACCAATCCATCCTGTCTCAAATCCAGGTGATTGGGTATTATATTGTAAGTATATATAAACATACAAACTTTCACATTTATAATATACGATCTTCTGTCCGACTATAGTTTTGAGAACCCCACATGACCCTATTATTTATCCGGGATAAAAAATATCCAAAGTAATCAATTCAGTTAATAAATTATTTGTGTGCCAAATTTTATCCAAATCCGTGAAGTCGTTTTTGTGTGAAATGAGTATGGATCATTCCGGGACTTCACATGGTTATTTGTATTTGTAAACATGACAACAGCCTCTACTTATCACTCCCTATTCGCTATGTGCGAAGTACATGGTGGGGGTATAGTGAAGCGATCGCAGCGCTTATCGTGGCAGAAATACGCAACAATCCGGGAAAGTAAAGCCAATTTGCACGGAGTTCGTAATAAACAAAAATTTTTTAAAATGCCTATTAATAGATGTTGTTGTGTTGTGAATTGCAAAAATAAGGGCACAAATAGTCTGTGTATATATTTCCTACATTGGACTGGAAATTAAATCAAAGAAATAAATGGATAGATGCCATAAAAAGAAATAAGTAAGCGAAATAACCTTAAATTATGATCAATTTTATTTGCGCTATATATTTTATGTGATATTCATTATTGTCTTTATTATTTTAGTGTTGATGGGTCGCCATGGTATCCCAAACCTGACGACACAATTTGTAGTGAACATTTTATGGGAAACAAAAAATCAGACGAGGAAGAAAATCCGAGTTATGCTCCTACGATATTCCCTGAAATATATCGAAAGAGGAAGGTTAATGATTCACAGGTCCTAGCTAGATATACACGCTTGACAAAACGAAGAACCACAAAAGTCTCAGATACCACATCAAGTCAAATAATAATTGAAGAAGGGAGTGAATTAAATCAAACTCAACCTTTTATGATCGATCAAGGATGTCAAGTCAATATGTTTTCTGAATCGAAATTAAGAGATACAACTTTTATTTGTATTAGATTAATTTACAGTGATCACTGTGATGCTGAAATCCAACATCAAGAATTTTAATGACAAATAATTCAAGAAAGAAAGATAAAAGCTGTGGCACTGACAAAAAATCGTATGAGGATCAATCTACCGAAACAAAAAGTCAAGAATTTGTTGGTATTTCATCAATAACAAATGATCAAGAACTCCTAGATCCTTCTGGTGTGTCATTTAGCAATTTTGAGTTTTTATTAACAAGATTAACTATGAAAAAATGTACAGTTTCCACTAAAGACCGACTTCTGATTTTTTTGATAAAAATGAAAAATGGCTTGACATTTTCAGCATTGAGTGTGTTATTTGGTGTACAAAAAAACCACAATCTCACGTATATTTCATTCGATCTTACAAAATCTAGCTTGTTCAACTGCTAATTTAATCTTTTGGCCGAATAGAGCCACCGTACAAGCAACAATGCCCAAGTGTTTCAGTCCAGATTACATCAATACAAGAGTTATTATTGACTGTACTAAATTCCGAATTGAAATCCGACAGTATTTAAATTATTATACAATATATAATAATTTTTATTTATCTTTAATTTACTATATTTACTAGAAATCAATAAAATACAAACTGATGTCATTATTTGGCATAATCCCGGAAAGTTGCGTATTGTAGGTGGCGCTCTGTCGTGCACATAGCGAATAGACAAATAGCAAACACGAATAGCTATGTACAATGCCGGCATCAAACATACAAACTTTCACATTTGAGGAGGTTAGGAACAAAAAGTGTTATTTACAATTTTTGACTTTTTGAGTAAATTGAGAAAATGAATATCTATGTTGTTCTAATAATTTATATATTTTTTTATATATTTATTGTATAAAATTTAATGTATTATAAGGTTACCACCATGCTGGTTTTGAATCTAGGAAAAAAATAACAAAATACATATTAAATGACACCCTTTGATCCAATAGCTTGTTAATGTCACTATTTGACTCAATAATTTTGTAAAATGTCACCTTTTCAAACTTACTGTTTAAAAAATGATACCTTATGAAACATTCAGTATGAAAATAAAAATGGATTCAAACAAAACATTTTTATTTCTTATACATGTAATTCTCCACAATCAGGTTCCCAGTTTGAACCGACTAAAGTGTCTTCAAACGTATTTCTTAAGAATATGTCACTTTTTGAATTCAAGTCTTAATAATCACTCTGATTGAATAAAAATGTAACTTTTTGTTCCGGAAGCAGCAGTTCAGATCGATTTTTCTATAAAAACTAGTCAAATTTTTGAACAAAATCTTGGGAGTTACAGATAGAATTTAATATTTTGAACCGATTAAAATAAAAAAAACCAAATGGAGCAACATATGTAAATGACACTTTTTGTTCCTAACCGCATTTATTATTTAATTAACTTAGCAGACGTTCTCCAGAATATAAAGTTCGTTCTCAAGTTATGGCGTGACGAAATTGGAATAAATAGTTTCGCCACAGTCCTTTGTATTAATATACGACATCAAACCGGTTTTATTTTATACTCAGCAACAACAACTTCCTTCGAGACAAAAGATAAATGAACCATAAAAAGGTTTTTCAATAGGGCGAATTTTATACGCTTAAAATGCATAATAAAACAAAGTGACATTAACAAGACCTAAAACTGTAGCTAAAGTCAAACTTTGAACGCATTTTTTTATACACACACCAATTAGCGGAGCCCCAAAATAAGCACTGTAAGGCTTGTGTTATGGGATGCTAGGGTAACGGATAGAATACATATACTGTACATATATAAGTATATTTATATAGAAATACATAATAAACATCCATGACTGGAGTACAAATGCTTGTATTCATCACACAAACATCTGCCCCCACCGGGATTCGAACCTGGGACCTTTCGAGTCGGCGATACCGTGAAACCCGGCGTACAAACCACTCGGCCACAGAGGTCGTCAAAGGCATTATAATACTACTAAATCGAAAAGTTTGTTATAACGTTGAAATGTGAAATTTTGTAAACAATAAAAAAAATTAGAAACAAATGGTTTATTTGTTCACCTTTTGTCTCAAATAGAGTATAATTAGGCCGTTCAACCGTCAAAATAATCGTTTGCCTTTTAAAACACTTCCTTTAGTCCTTTATTGGTAATATACCATATTACATAACCTTTATAGAAAATATTATTGTTTTCCGTGTTAAACATTGTGCTTTATTATGTATGGACGACCTCCGTGACCCAGTGGTTTGTACGCCGGGTATCAAGGTGTCGCCTACTCGAGAGATCCCGGGTTCGAATCCCGGTGGGGGCAAATGTTTATGTGATGAATACGAGCATTTGTACTGGAGTCATGTATGTTTATTTTGTATTTCCTTATCAACATATATGTATTCTATCCGTTACCCTAGTATATAACACATAACAACACAAACCTACAGCGCTTACATTGGGGCTGGCTAATTGGTGTGAGTACTCTTAATGATAAACTTTATTTCTAACCTTAAGCAGAATGTTCACAATGTAGGTATTAATGGCTATATGAAAACATGCTATTTATACCAAAACTAAAACACAGGTAAGTATTGATCACCCTAACAAGGTTGGTTCAAACCTGAACTAGGATTGATCCTGTGTCTCAGGTAATCAACCCCCCACCTCATTCATATTTTTTTGTGCTATTCAGTAAAAAAATCAGTAATCCAGGTAACTTTAATTGATGTGTAACATCTTTCCTCTCGCCTTCGTGCAATTTGTGGGAGTGATTACGTGAAGTGGAACGGAAGTGTGTAACAGGAAGATTGGGAAGCGAGCGCTATTTGATTTGATTTTAGAACATAATGTTCAAATGGTTTATTCCTTTTGTAGTAGGTTTTATATCTTTTTTTACTAATATAAGGTTTTAAATGTTACACATCATACGCGACTACTGTTAGGCTCCCTCGTTATTTTTTTTATTTTAAATGTGTAATAGGCCATGCGTATGACCACAATCTCGCCTGATGGAAAGCAATGATGAGGCCTAGGATGGTACACGCCTGCCTAGAAGATGCCTGTTCACACTGGCCTTGAAGATGTCCAGATTATATTGATCCGAGAAAACAGACCTCGGCAAGGAGTCTCACTCCCTAGCCGTTCGTATAATGAAAGCGGAAGCAAATAGCTTGGTGCGAATGGGAGGAACTTCGACAACATAAGGGTGAAAGCCCTCGCCGCGCCTGGTAGTCCGTCGTACGGACCTGTTTTAAAGTTCTCTATTCTCTATTTGCTGTGCCCTGTTCAGGGTCTACAATGATCAAAGCAATGTACCTACTAAGATCTAAAAAAAACATTGTAGAACTCAATAAAGTATTGATTGCTCGATTTGGTTCATAAATTCAATGAAATAGCTAAAGGAGTTTGTTAGGTGTGTTTGCGTGTGTGTATCTTATTTTTTGAGTTTAAGAAACATTTATTTAATTATTAATAGAACAGCCTTTGTGGGGCTGTTTTATCGCCAATATCATTGTTTGCCGCGTTTGCCGGGCGGTTTCTGCAGCTGGAATGAGGGCTCGGAAGCGGTGAATCCTGATGTAGTGAGAGAAGCGTTCATCTGAGGCTGAGGCGTTGGTTGCCAACCGGGACCTAATAAAAATACGAATTACGCTAGAGTCATCATCATCAGCCAATTAATGTCCCCACTGCTGGGGCACAGGCCATTGCTATAGATGAAATAGGGAGAGTGAGAGTTTTTGTTATTAACCATATTACAAAAAGGATGAAAAACACACATTTTTAATAACATAAAAAAAAACAAAATTAAAAACTAACTTATAACTATAAAAGTAACGGTTAATCAGATTGGGCCATGACCCACCACGCGGGCCCAGTGCGGATTGGTGGGTGCTTACGACTGCAGATGCAGCCGGGACCAACGGCTTAACGTGCCTTCGGAAGCCCGGAGAAGTTCGTGATAATAAATTTTTGGTCACAGATCCAATGACCGACCACTGCGAAAGTTGCTTAACTTCAACGATCGCAGCCGAACGGCTTACCACTTATCGAACTCCTTAACGTTAGAGTAACTACTTCGTCCGCGTTAAATTTATTTTTATGAGAACCCCACAGAAATCTGACTTTTTCTAGTCTCATACCAGGTCATGAACTATATGCGTACCAAATCTCATCCAAATCCGTTCAGTTGTTTTCGCGTGATTGAGTAACAAACATACAAACTTACACATTTATTACTAGCGGCCGCCCGCGACTTCGTCTACTTGACAGTTAGTTTTTAGAGAATCCTGCAGGAAACTAACGTTTTGTCCGGGATAAAACAATCCTATGCGTCAATCTAGGTAGTAAACTACATATATGTCAAATTTCATCCAAATCAATTCAGCCGTTTTAGCGTGATTGATAAAGAAACATACAAGCTTACAAATAGTATCCCTTAACACAAGCCTTACAGTGCTTAATTCTAAACTAAATTTTACCTGAAAAAATCCTCGCGGACCAGGCCGCAGACGGGACTCGAACCCGCACCCTCTGCTATCCGGGCGGATATCAGTGCTTACTCAAGGGGTAGGCTGTTAGAAATATTTATATATTACTTACCACTCGCATCAGCACCCGTAAAAGGAGATAGAGTGTTCCCCAAATAGGTGAACGGTGTTGGTCCAGCCAACTGTTGAATGTTACCTGAGAACAACATAAAATATATTAAATATAAAATAAATACATATTTCCAGCACTAACAACAATTAGCCTAGCCCCAAAGTAAGCACCATAAAGCTTGTATTACGGGATACTAGGGTAACGAATAGAATACATATACTGTACACATATAAGTATATTTTTATAGAAATACATATTAAACATCCATGAATGGAGAACAAATGCTCGTATTCATGACACAAACATCTGCCCCCACCAGGATTCGAACCCGGGACCTCTCGAGTCGGCGACACCATGAAACTCGGCGTACAAACCACTCGGCCACGGAGGTCGTCTAAATCGAGGTGCTTGTATGCCACACTTTTCACTGAAAAAAAAATCTATTTTATATATCAATCATCTTTTCCAATCTTTATTTTATTAATCAGCGCAATCGTGGATATCAAGGGATGAAACGATACGAGTAAATATACAAGTAAGTACTCGATACTTTTCTTTCAATACCAAGTACTTTTGGCCTCGATACTTTAGAACTGAGTAACAAGTAGTATCGTAAAGTAAGTACTTGTATCGGTACTCGGTCAGTCACTCACTGAGAAGTATCAAAAAAACTCTTAAGCAGATTATTTACTGCATGGTCAGGTGTCTAGTTGCAATTTTTGTTTGGAGAAAGCATATTTTCTACTGCTCAGTTGGCAGCCTTGCGTATGATTTATATTTATTCATATTTATTCAGTCAGTCATTCGTTCATCACGTGGCGTAAGCCGTTATTTTGTTTTCGTTAAATTAAAACTGTGACTGAATTTGTAATTGTAATCGATACATTTTTTTTTCATTCGATACCGAGTAGGCATTGATACTTTATGACCGATACAGTATTGAGTAAAGGTATCGATACCTAGATGGTATCGTTTCATCCCTATCGTGGCCGAGTGTGACAATAGGGTATTTCACTCTACTTGAAAAATATCTATAAATTTATTAATGCGATGGTTTAGGCCAAAAGAAGTCGGAAAATGTTAGTTTCAGTTCATAAAATAACATTTTAAATTTCAATTTAGTTTTCAGTTTTTTTATCTGTTTTTTAACACGATGAAATATTAAACGTATTAGCGTGTCAGCTGTCAAATCAGCACTTTAATGTTTTCGTAACCAAGGTAACGTATTTATTTACAGTACCAATGACGTCAAGACCGCAGATCAATATGGCGTCCACTACGTCCAACGTTTTCGTTTAACTACGCGCGAAATTTGAAAATGTTTAATTGCAATTAATTTTATGTAATAATTTTTTTATATTTTTTTAGCTTAGATTATAACAAAAGGGGAATATACGGTGTAGCGGAGGAGGCTTCTTGGATTAAATAACGCAGAACTCGAAATAAATAATATTAATTCGTTGTTTAATAATTATATTTGAAGAGAAGAGTAAAAGTACAGTTGATCGTTACGCGCTTAAAATTGAATAGATAAAAAAAGGTAACCTCCGCGAACCCGACGAATTTGCCGCTGCAGATCATTCATAGCCTTGGCGTCAACATGCCCCTGGCCTTGGCAGCTGTAGCTTTCAATGATGCTCCTTGGTTTCAACTCGAAGTGGACATATCTTCGAGAATGCTCTCCTCACAATTCCAGATGCAGTCCGGATATCAGCAACGCGCGAAATGCCATCGTTGCCAGGATAAACCTTAGTCACTCTATCCAAGTCCCACCTTAATGGTGGTGCGTTCGTGTCTTTAATGACCACCAATGTTCAGATTTCTATGCTAGACTTATTCGTTTTCCACTTCGATCTCGTCTGCAGCTCCGAAACAAACTCAAGGGACCAGCGCCTCCAAATGTTGTCGCATTTGCTCAACGTTGATACCTTGTCACACGATGCATGGGTCTGTCTTCCAGATTGATGCAAGTAGGGGCGGTGAGAGGTCGACCGATGAGAAAATGAGCAGGGGTGAGCGGTGACATGTCTGTGAGGTCTGAAGAAAGTGGAGTCAAAGGTCGGGAATTCAGTACCGCCTCGATCTGCGCCAACATAGTAGTGAACTCCTCGAATGTCAAGTGTGCATTACCTATTACTCGCCGGAGATGATACTTACAGCTCTTGACTCCGGCCTCCCTCAATCCACCAAAATGAGGCGCACAAGGGGGGATAAAGCTAAACTTAATACCTTGACTACATGCATAGTTAACAATTTTATCTGACGAATTAGAAATAAATTTTGCGAATTCATTCATGAGCCCAACGAAACATTTGCCGTTATCAGAATAAATTTGTGATTGTTTTGAACGCCTAGTAATAAACCTTTTTAAAGCAAGCAAATAAGCGTCGGTTGTGAGATCACTAACCACTAATGAATAGCACGAGTAGAAAAATATACGAATAAGCATATGTATGATTTAATAGTCTTAGTTCCCCTACCTTTTCTGTTTAATATGAGCACCGGCCCCGCATAATCAACACCACAGATCCTAAAAGGATAGCCTGGAGTCAGTCGGTCCTTGGGTAAATTACCCATGATAGGTTCAGGTGTCTTAACCCGCAACCTCGCACACCTAACGCAGTTATTAACTATCTTTCTAGCAAGGTTGAGTCCTCCTATCGGCCACCAATTTTCTCGAATTGTGTACAAAAGTAGCTGAGAGCCAGCGTGTAATAATTTAAGATGCTCTTGTTCAAAAGAATAACTGATAATCGATATTTGGATGATATTAGAATAGGATGCTCTTTATTATATTCAAATTCAGAGGAGCCAAGTCGACCACCAATGCGTATAATCTGATAGTCGTCGATGAACGGGCTTAAATTCAATAAATTATGTTTATGTGGTAATATTTTTTTATTAATTAATAGTTCATAACTATCTGGAAATGATTCCATCTGTGAAAATCTAAATAATAAATTAAGGGATATTTTTAGTTCATAGCACTTTTCAAGCGAGCAACGCCACGAACCAGACGATCGAGTTGCGAGAACTTATGGAATGGAAATCTAAATTGCTTATTTTCATTTGTAGTAACAAGAACGTGTGTCCCATTTTTTATTTTAGGCAGCTCTTGCTCTAAGTTGAATTTAGACGCGGATGCATAATCAAAGTACGATTCGCGAAGAAAATCTGGTCCAGTCCACCATTGATCGGATTCGCTTAATAAATCTAACGCCAAACCTCGTGAAATTAAATCGGCTGGGTTGTCTTTATAGACCGGGAGATGATGACACAAAATACTTGGTCATTTGTACCAGTATGGCGGTTCTTCAGGGGTCTAATTACGTAAAGGCAAAAAGGAAAATGATGGTCATAGCGCTTGCACCGGCGGCCCAATCGCGTGGGCGTTAATCGAACGCGTCGGATAAATAACGAGTGTCGAACGATTTGTTCCACAAAAATGCTTATATTTTCAGATAGTCGAAAAAAAGAAGTAGACGGTAGCGTAATGCCATACTTCTCGGGTGTGACTTACAGCCCGCCATACCGACGCGAATACATTAACTTAAATAAAACAATTCAATCATTTGTACCAGGCTAATTTTTGCACAGCTAATCATCGTCGAGTAGCCATTCACGAAAATCACCTTGCCATACTTTTCCGACAGTTCCCAATGGCCGCCATACCGCTGCAAAGGAGTAATTTTTTTTTTCGCCAAACGATTTGTACCAGTATTGCATTTGAATTTTTGGAAAGTATTTGGCAAAATGTGACCGTTATTATTTTTCCCATACTTCTAGTAGGGGGAAAAAGTGCTGCCATACTTGAAATACTTATTTATTTGACACGTTTTAAAAATACGACTGCAAAATACGTAAAATCATTTTTTACATCATGACACCATTGTATTCTCGTCATTTGGATGCAATTGTACGTAAAAAAAAATATTACAGATTGTAAACATGGGGCGGATGACTGTCGGACTTGAGCTAAAAGGTGAAAAAGAAAAAAAACATTGACGATTTGTACCAGTATGGCATTTGGATTTTTGGAAATTATACGATACAATGTGACCATTATTATATTTGCCATACTTGTAGTAGAGGGAAAAAGTAGCGCCATACTGGTACAAATCGTTCGAATTACGAATAAAATCTTGGGACTTTGAAAAAATATTGTTCACATTCGCCACCTCCCACAGGTATGGCATTATCAGACTTCTATTTATGATCATACGGGGAACTGTTAAAAAAGTTTCAGGGTGGTACAAATCGTTTGGCGAAAAAAAAATTACTCCTTTGCAGCGGTATGGCGGCCATTGGGAACTGTCGGAAAAGTATGGCAAGGTGATTTTCGTGAATGGCTACTCGACGATGATTAGCTGTGCAAAAATTAGCCTGGTACAAATGGTTGAATTGTTTTATTTAAATTAATGTATTCGCGTCGGTATGGCGGGCTGTAAGTCACACCCGAGAAGTATGGCATTACGCTACCGCCTACTTCTTTTTTTCGACTATCTGAAAATATAAGCATTTTTGTGGAACAAATCGTTCGACACTCGTTATTTATCCGACGCGTTCGATTAACGCCTACGCGATTGGGCCGCCGGTGCGAGCGCTATGACCATCATTTTCCTTTTTGCCTTTACGTAATTAGACCCCTGAAGAACCGCCATACTGGTACAAATGACCAAGTATTTTGTGTCATCATCTCCCGGTCTATTACCATTGATATGACACCATGGATTTTCTTTTGTCAACTCGCGTATTTCAACAACTCGACTTTGAACGAAAGTTTTTAGTAGACTTGGCGTCGTGCGAGGCCAGCCCAAAACAATAGTGGAATCGGTTCAGAAAAACGTATTACGAAAGGTACAACGCAGCAAGGCAGTAACCCTTTCGAATAATTTAGCGCTAAGTAAGGCACCGCATAGTTCCAATCTGGGAATACTAACTGGCTTTACAGGTGCAACTTTGCCTTTTGAACAGAGAAGTCTAGTCAGTACCGTACGATCTGCCTTAACAATAAGAATATATGCGCACGCACCGTAACCCACCTGCGAGGCATCGCTAAATAGATGAAGTTCGATATAGCTACT